GGCTTTGGACCTACCGATCCCACCAAAGGGCATTGAGGTCAATGTCAGGTGCATCAGGGCAATGAGGATGTGGTGGAGGAGCTCTCAGCCTTCCCTCTGCCCTTTCCAGCTCTACATCTACACAGTCCAGCAGATCCTCCTGCAGCTCACCACTGTTTGCACATCCCAGTGCATCATTTTCACTGACCTACATTTATCTACATAAGCTTTGCTGGGTCTACAAGGCTCAATTTCTCTCTACAACCTCTACGGTGCTCTACCACATCTACCCATGGTTAGGAGCTACCAAGCATGGCCCCTAAGGAAGGTCACCTTCTTCCTGGACCATTTAAATATCAGTTTTAAATACTGAAGCAACATTGGCAACACCAGTTCTCCCAATTCCTGTGCCTGGTTTAAGCTTGAGGTTGCACATTGGGGTTAACAGCCCAATGACTTCATGTCCAAGCTACTGTAGAAGCTTTGGCCAACACCATCTCACCCTGATGACTTCAGACCCTTCACCTGACCAGGCTGTTATAAAATGGCTTCACCTGATAATTTGAGGAACCACTGTGTCTGAATCATTTCCATAAAGGTCAGTTACGGTTTGGGAACCACCACGAATTGTTCCCTGTGCCACAGTCAGGTGAGGAATTAATTGTGCTTCACCATCGTGGTGTCCTATTAATGTCTGACCTACCGATCCCACCGAAGGGCATTGAGGTCAATGTCATGCATCAGGGTGTCGTTGCCACAGAAGCCACCGCTGCTCGTCCTCTCCAGGACCTGGTTCACCACCTGGGAGGGAAGCAGAGAAGGTGGACGTGGGTCTTGCACTTGTCAAACACACAATCATAGAATTGTTTGGGTTGGAAAAGCCCTTGAAGCTCATGGAGTCCAACCATGAACCCAACACTGACCAGTCCCCTATGACTAACCCATGTCCCTCAGCACTGTGTCTACACGACTCTTCAATCCCTCCAGGGATGGGGACTCCACCACTGCCCTGGGCAACCCCTTCCAATGCCTCAGAACCCTTGCAGCAAAGAAATTCTTCCTCACATCCCATCTCAACTGCCCTGGCCACAACTGGAGCCCATTTCCTCTTGTCCTGTCCCTTGGGCCTTGGTTGAACAGACCCACCCCCACCTCTCTCCACCCTCCTCCAAGGGACTTGCACAGAGCCACAAGGTCTCCCCTCAGCCTCCTTTTCTCCAGGCTCAACACCCCCAGTTCCCTCAGCCACAAGGGAACTCAGCACACTTGTGCTCCAGACCCTTCCCCAGCCCCGTT